ATTTTCATGAATAGTGTGTTCCATTGTAGTTGCTGCTATACTTTTTGGGTTATTGATGTTCTTGAATTTCAAATTCAGTACTCCAGTATTATGGACAATTTTATTTTTTTATTTTTTAAAGATTTTATTTATTTGACAGAGAGGGAGATCACAAGTAGAGAGAGAGAGAGAGAGAGAGAGAGAGAGAGATTGGAGGAGGAGGCAGGCTCCCTGCCCAGCAGAGGGCCCGATGCAGGACTCGACCCCAGAATGCTGAGATCAGGACCCTAGCCAAAGGCAGAGGCTTAACCCACTGAGCCACCCAGGCAGCCCCGTATTATGGACAATTTAAAAAAAAGATTTTATTTACTGACCTGTGTGGGGGGAGGGGCAGAAGGTGAGGGAGAGAGAAGCAGACTCCCCTGCTGAGTGGGAGCATACACTGGGTTCATCCCAGGACCAGAGACCATGACAGGAATGAAATCTAAGAGTGGGTTCCTCAACTGGCTGAGCTAATCAGGTGCCCCTACTGATAATTTTTTAAAAAACTGTAAAATTTTAAGTTCTAAGGAATTTTTAAACTCATAAATTAACAATTGGTGGTTGTCATTGAGATATGTATTAGTGTTACATGTCATTTTCTTGTTTAGCTTTTATTTAACAAATCAAGGGTTAAATTCCCAGAAATAAAACTAGTTGCAAGGATTATATATTGAGAATTAAGTTTAGCCTTGGGCTTTAACTTGCCAGAAATTTTCATTTCTTCCTGTGATTTTTCCTGGATATTTGCTGATAAGTTACATTTTATGAGGGGTAACTTCTGTGAGAAGTGGTTAATTTGAAACTCTCCCAAAATGGTAAAATAAATAGCCAGGGCAAGGTAAGATACTTTGTGAGAATATAATATGAAATTGACTATCTGCTTATATCATCAGCAGGGGGAAATTTAGGAAAGGGCAGTTTCCTGTAATTGTTGTATTTATCTATTTATTTTTAAAGTTTATTTACATAATCTCTGCCCCTCTACCCTGTGGTGGGGCTCGAACTCACTTCAGAGAAAGAGTTGCATGCTCCTCCAACTGAGCCAGCCAGGTACTCTGTAATTGTTTTAATAAATGTAAAAATAACAACTGGGAAGAAAGTTTTATGAATAGGCAGTTGAGAGAATACTAAAGACTATTATTTTAATCTGATTTTCTAGAAGGCTAACATTATTTTAGCAAAGAAACTAGACCAAAATGGGATTAGGGCAACTGTGTTTTATATCTTTGATGATTGAAATGGATTTATAATTACTTTGTTAATCACATTTGCTAAAGCTGATGAAGCCATAATATTCAGTTATTTTTCTTTACATTTTGCTGGACTAGGGTCTAAGCATTAAAGTAAAATTTCTTAAAATCACAAGAGTAATGGATGGGTAGACATGTACTATATGATGATTATATTATATGCATCATATGAAAATAGAGTGATTTGTGACTGTCAAGGTCAGAATTGTTACTTTACACATAAGTACAAAATAGATTTATAAAAGGCTAAATATTCACTGGACATTTTCCTAGAGCTTTAGGACCACTAAATTCAGTTTCTTTTAGAGTAAAATCAGTCATTAGAATAAGGTGAGTTTACGCACTTTGTTTTAATCATAACCATTTCCATTATATATATTATATAACTTACATATTTATATACTAAAAGTATCTGGGTATTTTTGTGCAGTTAATGTGTCTTTACCAGAGGCAGGAACCTTAGAAACGCTTTTAATTGGGGAATGTTTCTATAATACAGTTATTCTGGAACTTTAAAATAATAGCAAGGAAATTACTCCAAATACAAGATTTTTGTGTACCCAGTGTTCATGGTAGGTGTTCTTAAGTTTAAATACTATTTAATGTAAGGGAACTTTAAAACTAGTCTCTTTATTGATTTTGCTCTCCTATTTGGACCAAATAATGAACCGTTTATTTGGAAATTTGTTTTTATGAAAGTACTTTTATTTTGGGCAACATTAAACTGATTTTATGCATTTTAAATATGGTTTTCCCTTCAACACTGTAACTATATACCTGTATTTACTTGACATGAATATGCACAAGTTACTTTGTGTTTGGGATTCTGGTGAAAGTGATTTATGCATTCCCTAATTATAGTTTGGAAATCTTTCCATGTCAGCCTCATGAAATCTACCTCATTCTTATAAATAGCTATATGCTACTGTCACAATGCATTATCTCAATGCACAAAAATAGAATATACTAATCTTAAATGTTATATTTGACTCTTATCTGGCCAAGAACTAAAAGGCAAACTGGTCACACAAAATTTGAATAAATCCTATCATATATATTTCTTAGCTGTCTCATTGGGAAGTATTCTAAAATTAAATTACATTTTATAGCTTCGACTGCATTTATAGCTCTAGAGGTGATTTTTTTTTCTAGAGGTGATATTATTCTTATAAATACTAGGAGAAAAAAAGGAAAGGAAAATACCATTTGTAAGTAAGATTATCTCAGATTGTTAACAGAGACTTAAAGAAGGAACTAAACTTTTTTCTTTTTGGATCTTTTCTGATATATGTATATACTCTTGCTGTTCTTACTGCTCTGTACAATACTGTTTTCTTCTGCCACGACAGCATAGGAGTAACATTAAGCATTTTAAAAGCATAATCCTGAAGTGTGTAATAACTTGTATGAGCTGTTTTTAGATCAACACTGTCAAAAAATGACCTATAAAGCAGAATATTTTTTCTCTTTTTATTTTAGGAAAGGCTGTTTGTCAATGAAGAAAATGTTGATGAGGTTCTTGAAGAAGTCCTGAGCCCTCCATTTAATCAGACAATGTCCTTAACCCCACCATTAATTGAAGTTCTTCAGGTTACTGATAGTAAGATTCAAATTCATGCAAAGGTAAGGATTTGGTGGCCTTTGTAGTGATTTAGGACAAGGTTAAAGCCTGACAGATAACTTAATTTTTGATTTCTTGATGTCATAACTTTAAATTAAGTGTACATAATGGCTGGGAAGACTGAAGAGGAGTAGAGACTTTGCCTGTATTTTCCTATGGGCCAAACACTTTGTGATTCATTTTCACATATCTCATTTAACCCCAAAATAACTGTCCAGTGAGGAAGAGGGAAACTAACATTTGGGAAGTTTCAGTGCGAGTCCAGGGACAAACAAGTCTTTTTGACTCTCAAACCATGGGAAGGAGCTATGTCATTCAGTTTGTTCATTCTTTCTAGTTGAACCTTAAGTCTGGTTATTCTTAGTCTTCAATATTGGACACAAATAATTTAGTAACTAGCACAATTGATTTACATATGAATTGGGGAGGAGAGTAGTTCTAAAGAATCACAGAAATTCAGGAAAAAGAAATTCAAGAATGCCCTTATAAGAATGAATACTAAATGGTTTTGTAGGCCATGTCAAAGGGTTTGTAGGCTAGGAATATTTTATTCTGAAGGAGGTAAGGGGTCATTGAAAGGAATTAATCAAGAATTAATGTCAGGTTTGCACTGTCTGCATTGTTAAAAAGAACTGGCAGCATTTAGAAGATGACTTGGAGGCGGAAAGCCCGGAAGCCTATCTGTAGATCTATAAGCATTATTTCTTCACAACTTACCAAGAAAAAAAAAAAAGTTTTCCAGAGAGCACAATTTAATTTTCTGTTTTTTTTCCAAAGATTCTTAATTTGTTGTTTTTCTTGACATAGTTGCAAGAATGTATTAACTCTGAAAAGCTTAATGAAAAGGAAGAAAAAGGCAATGAAGGAAGTCATCTAACTGAAAAAGAAAATATAGAACATCCTACTACCTCAACAACTGATTCTGATTCATCTCTAGAAGTTAAAGTACTAGAGACAGACAGTTGTGGTTCAGTTGTGTGCTTGCAACGAGGGGATCCTGATGTTTCTCACTTGCTATTTGAAAAGTCTCAGCAACCTGAGTCAAAAATGGAACCTGAATTTATAAAAGAAAAAAGTCCTGCTTACTCAAATGAGGAAAAAGAGGACTTAGAAGAGCCAGTGATAACAGAAGAGAAAGAATCAGATGGAGGTGACCTATCTTCATTACTAAACAGAGCTTCAGTTCACAATTTACCTGGTCTTAACAATGTAAAAGAAACCAATATGCAGGACGGTAGTGTGCAGTTTATTAAAGATCATGTGACTCAATGCGCATTCAGTTTTCATAATTCTCTGCTATATGACTTGGACTGATTCTGTATAATTTTAGCGTTTGTAAGAGTAAAAAGTGTTTGGCCTTAAAACATTATCTTTCTGTTAACTACTATCTTAAAGTACTCAAGAAAGTACAAAATTAAAATTTGCAGTTTTGATTCTCATGGGGAAACTGGAGATTGATTGTTTTTTTGTATGTAGGGTTTATACAGTTTCCTTAATTATGGAGACTTTTGTGATTCCTCTGATAGATACATTTTTTCTAATGGCGAGTTAATCATTTAGTTTTAAAACAACCTGTATATATTTGCTTGTTTTTGGCTTCTTTTGTTTACCATTACTTTAATAAAGTTTCAAAGTAAATATTCACTAAGTTGTGTCTGTTACAAAATGTAATTCTTAAGAATGCAATTAACTAGAAATTAATCAGTGTCGGGGGGGGGGGATAGAATCTCAAAAGTATGCATTTATGTTTCACTAAATATGATTATTTATGCTTGAAACATTCTTAGAACTTTACTAACCAATATTAACCATCTCATTATGATACAGATACACTGAATGAAATTTAGTATTTTTGCTTCAACTCTGTATTTTATGTGTGCCACACACACACGCGTATATATAGTTATACAGGTTATATAGTGATACCTTTAAAACTCAACTTCTTAAAAGATGTTTTTGGAAGTTACTATTACAGTATTAAAACATTTCTTGGTTTTATAGATACATTTATGAATTTTTTAAAAGCTTTTAAGTAATCTGTCTACCCAAACATGGGGCTTGAACTTACAACCCTGAGATCAAGAATCATACACTCCAACTGAGCCAGCTAGGCACCCCGACATTTATGAATTTTAGAACAACTAAAAAATCTGGGAATTTGCTCCCATAGCAAAATTGTCTTCACTATATTACATGGAAAGAAACCAAAGAGCCAGTGTTATCTAGTTAGTTTTGCTTGTAATATCTAAAAGAGGGCAATAGATAATTCATCTTAACAGTGGTTAAGTTATTAATATTTATATTGGAGGCCAGGAGAAAATCCAGAGATTTTTTTCCTCACAAAAATTTTTAGTACAGCATGAATGAAAATGTAGAAAGGAAAATATTTGTTGATCTAATTGCTGACCCCAAAACCATGACCTAGTTTATCAATGATCTTTTTCTGATTCAAAATAATTCAAACTTCAGGCCTACCCTAGTCCTGGACATTAATTTTTTTAGTCCTCTGAACAGCTGAAAGTCAAATCAGAGCACCAAAAGCTAGTACAAAGCATGACAATTCATCCTGATTGACATTTATAACCCCCTATAAAATCTGGAACCAAACTGGGCTGTGAGGGTAATATAAAGGTAGCTCATAAAGCAAGAGAACTATTTGTTCCATATTTAACAACCACATGCATTTCTCAAACATAGTATGACTCTTAATTTGATGAAATAATTTCAAAATTGTCCATTTAATACACCATCTTCTTAGAATGAAATGATGTCCTAACTATACAGAAATTAGTCTCTGTGTAACTTCTGGTTGAATGCAATTATATACTATTAAGAGAAACTTCCACAAGAAATAAAGAATAAATTTTAAGCATGTTTCCTATTATTTACTGTGTCTATCCTTTTAAAAAGTATGATTTCACTTAAAATAAAGCTGGCACTGGAACATGTTTCACTTTGGCATGACTGAACTTTCTATCATTTCTGGCTTTCGAAAACAATTTAGGCTGTATTTCACTTACACAGCAGCTTTTTATTGTTCATTATCTATGCTTGGGTAATTTGAAAGCCAGTGTCTTCTAAAGGGAATGCATTGTCAAGAGTGGGGTTTTATTTCAAACTCAGTTATATGATGTACAAACAGTACACACGAAGATGTAATGTAAACTTTAAAAACTTCTAGAATGCCTTCACTGAATTTTGGTGTAAAGAGTAAACAAAATTTATTCTGCAAAATAATTATGAACCTTTTTATGCAAAAATGAGTATTTTATTTTGGCAGCACTAAAAGAAAAAAAAAACCCACTGTATTTCTACATTGAGGTGAAAACAGTGTTTAAACTTTCTTATCAATCAAATACATTCCAAAAGAAACTGTGTTCTATGAAGGCTCCAAAGCACAGGCAAATCTTAACACAATAATACAGGAATCTGTAATACTGAAAATGTCTGTTCTGATAGGGCGTTTAACAAACATAACTTTTGTATTATAAAACCAGTGAAGCAATCCCTTCCTAGTAACCGTGTCAAGAGTGAAACTGGGCTTGTTCCATTAATACTAATAATTCCATTGTAATACTTTTTACTGCTATGACAATTTTAAATAAAGTCTGCTGTACTTAAAATAAGTTTTGAAAGTGGAAAAGTGTACAAAGTTCCAGATAAAAAGATTAATAGACGCAACTTAAATAAAATTTCCCCTTTTCTTTTACCAATTAATAATGATTACCTTTAGCAGATAGAGATTGAACTTTAAAACCCAACTCCCAAAATGAAAACTTGTGTTTAAATTTTAATCAGACATAGAAGGAAAAGATTACTATATTTGGACATCTTTTACAAGAATTTTTTTTTCTGTATTAAAGCAGAAACCAGTTCCTAAACCCTTTTATTCAATTGTATATTCTGTTTGGACAAATATCAAAAATAGAAGACTGTGACTTTTGCTTTTGTAATTGTGATTTTTCACTGCAGTCTTCTATAACTTTTACAGAGTTCATGGTCCCTAATATCTCCCCACCCTCCATTTTTCCTAGGTGGGGAAATGGCTGCCACAAATTTCTCACTGATAATTAGAGTTTCTGGAAACAAGTACTGTTTGTTATTATTTAAGAGTGACTCAATTTGGGCACTCTGGGTGGATGGTCTACAGGTTTTCTTGTGGTGCATACCACAGTCTCCAGCATGAAATATCCTAGGAACTTGAGGAACCAGCACTTTCCAGAATTTTGGAAGACAAGATACAGTTAAATATTGAAGAGTCCAGTCCCAGTTATAATCATCATAAGTACAGAAAGTGTCTGTGCACTCAATCAGCTTCTGATATGCATCCCGGGTCAAGGCTAGACCCATATTGTGCTCTGTGGATTTCCAAGTTTTCACATCTACCTTGTCAGCAATGCCATGGAAACTTCGAATGGCCGTATAGGTCCCCAGGGAGAGAACATCACACTCAGGACACTCCTCCTGCTTTAACTTCCACATCTTTTTGAAGACATGGTAAAAGTCTGGGGCTAAGTAGTGATCTTCCTCTAGGAAAAGTATGAGGCCAGTATAGTCTCGAAGAACTTTGACCCTTTCCCATACAAAATGCAGCTTCCACCACCAATGGTGTTTGGTTTGGGAGAACTTAGCCTCTCTATAATGGCCAAAGGAGTCGGGATACTCAGCATTAATGCATCCCATCTTCAAAGCTGCATTCTTCTCCAGATCTCTGGGGCAATCTCTGGGGTCGCTGCCTGGAAACTCGTTGGGGTACAACTGAATGCTGAAAGGAAAGAACACCTGCAGAACCGGACAGAAATCCACCCCAGAGATCAGCTGATTGATCTCTGTCGACCAGAAGTCATGGCTAAAGATGACGAGGACGTTGTCAATACCTTGGGCTTTTCGGAGTGAGTCCAGCAGCAGTCTGAGGTAATCGGGCCGGTTATGCACCTGGACCACCAGCACCAGCTCTCGAGGAGCCCAGGAGCCGGCCTTATCTACATTCCTCAGCGTCTGGTCAAAGTTCAGCTGGTACACCAGGGACCTGTACCGCAGCGTCAGGTTGTCTGCTTCAGGCTGCGGGGCCGCCGGGACCAGAGGAGCCGCCGACTCGTTGGAGACCCGGCGGATGCCCACGGACACAGCAGAATGGTCCCCGCCCCGGCCGCCCGCACCTCGCGCGGGCTCGGCGTCCAGCAGCGGCGGGGCGAGGGCCTCGCTCTTCCTTTGTCGCCCATTGCTGCTCCAGAGGACGAAGCCGCAGGCGGCCACCACGAGCGTCAGGATCAGCACCTTCCGCTTATAGATGCGGAACCTCATGGTCTCCAGGGCAGGGAGCGCGGACGGGCGCAAAAAGGAGCTAGCGGCTTCTGCACAGAAGGGGCGGGCGGGTGGTGGCCGTGGCCTTGGCCTGTAGCAGTCAGAACTGGCCCCCGCGGCTGCCCCAGCTAACTCATCCCGGGCCCCGGGGGTCCAGGGGCCCGAAGGGTCTCAGTTCCCCCGCGCCGCCCGGGCTCCACACATCCTCGCCTGGCAGCTGCAGCTCGGGCAGCGGCCCCGCCGCTAGGAGCCGCGGCTCGGCGTCGCCTCGGTCCTCTCCATTCAGCACCGGTCCCGGAAGAAGTCCCGCCGCGGCCCCACCGCACCCCGCTTGGTTACCTGCGCCTCCAGCGGCCCTGCGTCCTCTGCGCTCTCATCCTTACGCGGGCCCCAGACCGCCAAGACCCAGCGACGCAGCCTCGCCCCACTCCAGCGGCAACCGTTCTGACAACCCGCGACTGGCCGGCGGAGCGCCGCGGTCCTCCGGCCCACACCCCTCTGGCCCGCCCCCCTGGGCCGCTGGTTGGAGATTCCCGGACGCGTCCGGAGACGACGGGCCGCCGCTGCCTGCTGCCTATTGGTCCGTAGCACTGTCGCTCACGCTCAGTTCCTACTTCCGCTTCATCCTCCCTTTCCTGTTAGGCGCGAGCAGAGCGAGGCGAGGATCTTGGTTGCCGAGTTTCCCGGTAAGCTAAGACGGGAGTGTAGCGGTCTCAGCAGGAACCTCCAGTGCTCAGAATCTGGAGATGGACCAGGCCCTTGTAGGAACTGGAGGGTGAGGCCCGCTGCCTTGGCAGAGTTAACGGGCTTCTCCCCTCGGAAAGGGGCTCACGAATGACGGCTAGTGGGCCGGGAGATGCTTATTAAGGGACACGTCAGCCTTGAACGCTGCTCATGGGTGATGGTGCTTCGGAGGGGAAAAGTGCAACCAGACAGCTCCGGTTCCCGGAGAAGGAACGGAAGCGGGCGGTAGCTGGAGCTACTGACCGAAACCAGGCACTGAACCGGACATACCCGGGAGCTAGAACATGGAGGAAAAGGGTGTGAGAGGGTCTGAGAAAGAAAATCAGATAAACACCACTATGCTTTTTGGGACGGCCACAGTAAATTAAGCTCCAAAGGACCCCACTTTGTACGGGGAACTGGCTGTTGGGCGCCCCTATGCTGCTTTTAAGTGAGTCTTATTCCAAAAATATTCTGGACATAACAAAAAGGTGTGCACTTTTGTATTGAGTCATAGGTAAAAGGAGTACTTGGTGGGTTTATACATTACTGACATATGTAATGTTTTCCTATATTTTTAAAGCACTTTATTAAAAATGTTTTAAGTTTGCTACTTTAACTTCCAAATGTTTTACATTTTCATCCTGCAGACAGCGCTGCTGCAGAGATGGTCAACGTTCCTAAAACCCGAAGGACTTTCTGTAAGAAGTGTGGAAAGCATCAGCCTCACAAAGTGACCCAGTATAAGAAGGGCAAGGATTCCCTTTATGCCCAAGGAAAGAGGCGCTATGATCGGAAGCAGAGTGGCTATGGTGGGCAGACAAAGCCCATTTTCCGGAAGAAGGCTAAAACCACAAAGAAGATTGTGCTGAGGCTTGAATGTGTTGAACCTAACTGCAGGTCCAAGAGGATGCTGGCCATTAAGAGATGCAAGCATTTTGAACTGGGAGGAGATAAGAAGAGAAAGGGCCAAGTGATCCAGTTCTAAGCTTTGAGTTTCTTCTTTTATTTTTGAGAAGAAAATGTTGACCCTGTAGAAAAATTACCTGTATGAAAATAAAGTGATATTTTACCCAACTGGTTTTTTTTTTAAATCTAAATAGAATGACATGCTTAGTGAATTGAATCACATGCTTAATGTGATTCAAAATAACAGAAAATTTGTCAATGAACTGTTTATCTTCAAATATATATATATATTTGAAATATATATATATATATATATATATATATATATGTATTTTAAAGATTTTTATTTGACAGGGAGAGAGGGAACACAAGCAGGGGTGGGGATGGTAAAGGGAGAAGTAGGCTTCCCATCCAGCAGGGAGCCTGATGTGGGGCTCCATCCCAGGACTCTGGGATCATGACCTGAGCTGAAGGCAGACGCCTAATGACTGAGGCACCCAGGTGCCCCTTATTCTCAAATTCTTACTTAGATTTAGTTCCACAAAATTGGAATTTTGTATTTATATATAAAGAAAACAGGAGTCCCACCTCCCAACTTTATAAACTAGGTTATGGATATAAATCACATAGCAGGGAAAAATAACATATATTTTCTGGTCAATTTCAAATTAATGTGTTTGGTGAACTCATAACTGATGAGCTGCTGGGAAAGGTGTAAATCAGATTTTGAAAAAAGTAAATGAGGAGGATAAATTAGGCCTGTGTATAGCAGACTGAATGGGGCAGACAGAGTATCCAAGTTGGGGTATAAGAGCTGACTTGCAAGTTGGTGTCCAGTAGGGACCACTAGCTATACATAGATATTTTTTTTAAAGATTTTATTTATTTATTTATTTATTTGACAGAGATCACAAGTAGGCAGAGAGGCAGGCAGAGAGAGAGAGGAGGAAGCAGGCTCCCTACAGAACAGAGAACCTGATGCAGGGCTCAATCCCAGGACCCTGGGATCATGACCTGAGCAGAAGGCGGAGGCTTTAACCCACTGAACCACCCAGGCGCCCCTACATAGATATTTAAACGAAAAATGCAGTTCCTCAGTTACACTAGTTACATTTAGTGCTCAATAGCCACATATGCTGAGTGGCCAACCTACTGGACAACACAGATACAGAACATTTCCATCAGTTTTTTGGGACAGCACTGTGATAGACTGGTCCTGAATGTAAGGCACGAGTTTAAAACCGACTTCTAACTGAAAGATTCTGAAGCTAGTAAAAAAACAGTGAGTCCATGATGGCATAAACTTTTGATTCTTTAAGAAGCCATCCTGGAGATACTCAAATGTTAAAACTTCTTGGTTATTAGGAGGTTTGAGAAAGTATGCAGTTACCAATGAAAACAGAATGGAAAGCTGAAACTTAAAGAAGTGAGCCTTATAACACACAGAAGGCAAAACATGAGTATCAAAAGGAAAGAATGACAAAGGGTATGGTTTATGAGAAGACAAATTCTGCATTTTGTACAAGAATTTTAAGTTGGCCAAGATATTTACATGGGATGGCTTGTAGATGAATAATGCAAAGGGCTGGGTTGTAGGACTAACAGCTGGTTGGCACTTAGTCCCAACACAGACACTTCTGCATTTGTTGATGAAAAACTTCTGGAGCACCTGAGTGGCTCAGTCAAGTGTCTGCCTTTGATTCAGGTCATGTTCCCAGGGTCTGGGCTTACTGCTCTGTGAAAAGTCTGCTCTCCCACTTCCTCTGCCCGTCTCTCAAATAAATAAAAAAATAAAAATAACTTCTACAAGAACATGTAAAAATCAGATACACACATGTTAAATATGCCACAATACATTTTTAAAAGAACGATGCTTTAATGTAGTTACATAATATTTATGGGTAATCCTTCAACATTTTGAGTTTAGCAAATCCTAAGATGTTTTACTTAATTATAGAATTCTTGGTTTTAAGAGCTTAAGTGAATTAACTTTAGAAGGTATATAAAACCTGGGCTTAAAATCTCTGGTCTGGGTTCATGGTACCTCCTAGGGTAATTTGTGAGGATTAAATCAAATACTGTATGTAAAACACCCAGAACAAAGATGGAGCTAAATGCAGCTCTTTTTAATGTGTAAGCCATTTTTGCATTATATATGATTTTTTTTTTAAATGAAAACTAGAAATTATATAGAAATCTTTTGCGGGAAGAATTTGACCACAAGCAAAACAAATTTAAGGTCACCCAAGAATTACTCTGGATGGAAGAATCCACTCTGAGAAGAAACTACATTTTAGAGATCCTATACATAAAGTTTTAATAAAACTCTTCTAACAGTTAAAACAGTATTTACTCAGGAATACTTGTAGTTTCAGAAAAGAATAAAATGCTCCAAATAAATATTTTAGGACAGAGGAAGTAGCAGCTACCTAAGCCATAAGAAATAGTCTTACACAGACTAACCGTAAGTCCTGGTCCAAAGCAGCAATGGTATGCAAAGATCAGAGATGGCTTTCTCTAGTAACTTTTACTTCCTTTGTTCCCAGAAACCGGTTATGAGGCTATTGCAGTGATCTAAAAAAGAGGCTGATCTGAAGAAGGGCCATAGGAATGAACAGAATGGAGCAGTTCTGATTTTGTTTTCCACAATTTTTTCAAGCAGCTTCATTTTCCATTCCTTTCCCCTGGTTCAAATCCTCATCATAGTTTAGCTGGTGTATTACCACTTTTTAAATTAAAAAATAAAAATATTAAGTGACTAAAATAATAAACAGAAAAAAGAACCTTCAAATACAGAATGCAGTCAGTAAAAAGTAGCAATTTTTAACTCCTACCCAACCCTAAAACTGTGTTCCAACTCTGGAAGTTAAAAAACAGAAATCACAACAAAGATGTGAGTAACATTATAAAACCTATAAAAGCTGAAGTCTGTTTATCCCAAAGCAGCTCCAACTTTATGCTTGAATATAGAATTCCATACGTAGAATAATATACTCGAAAAACACAAAAAGCGGTATGCTTATGTGGTTTCATACCAAACAAGTTTTCACTAAAATTTAGACTATGTTAGTCCTTCAAGGTATATTTTCTACATATAGGAACTCAATTTTTTTAATTGAAACTCAAGAAGAAAATTGTTAAGAAAACTCTATGACTGGAGTGATAGGGATCAATATCTGTTTAACATTAAAAGCTAACCCACAACCCATTCTGGAAACACTAGGTTGAAATAAATACATGTGCAATAAACTGATAAAATTGTTTCTTCACAATGAAATTAAATAGGTTTTAATGAAATTAAGGTTTTACAGTCAAATGATTGAAAATGTTAGAGTAACATCTTCCCCTCAAGTATATGAAAGGCTTCCCTTTCTCCAGTTTGACACAGTTAAACCACAAATGAATCCCAAACTGATCTGTAACTAAATGGAATTTCTTTTTGTAGTATCACCTATTACTTTAACATATCACAGGAATTTACGTAACAGGCTACAGAACAGAAGTAAGACATAACAGGTGCTTCAGTACCACCCATATTATCTACTAAGACCACAGTGTGAGCAACAGAGTGTAGATTCATAGTAGTAGTTCCCTGAATAAAAGAGTTTAGACAGAATCTTCCACAAACACAGGTTTTTGCAGTATCCAAATCTTGGCAAAGATGAAAAGGAATGATATGAGAGCCATATGGAATCCTATTGGGAAAAAAAGTTCAAAAAAATTTTTTTAATACACTACTAGATTCAGAACTTCATGCATTAGGTCATGAATTACTGGACACTGAGTTATAACCATAGAAAAATAAGATCTTTAATTAAGTGACTCAGTATATTTTCCTCCCTTCCAAACAGTTAAGAATGGGGAAAATA